ATTAAATTATAATTTATAATTAAGAAAAAACTATAAATGATAAATAAAATAGAACTCAGTTAAAGTTCGCACTTTTTTAAATTTCGCACTTTTTTGTGCTTACATGAAGGTTTGATAAGTATGTAAAATCCTTTCTTTTTCTTATCCCTCCCTATTATCCCCCCCCTCTCTCTCTCCAATAAAAATTTGCAATGCAAAAAATTGCAATGGCTTTTACAAAAAGAATTCTAATAAATTTTGATCTCCTATATAAATCTTTCGACGTCTCATTTACGTAATTAAAAAAAAAATGCAACAAGTCCCGTATATATTGCTTACAGACGGAGCCGTTTGATGATCCGGTTGCATATAAAGGCGAGGTGATCGTTGGTCTAAAGTTTGTTCCGCCGGATCCGGCGCAGCAAGAACGTGATCGGGAAAGCAGTGCGGAACGTAGCAGTTCTAAAACGAAAAAGAACTGGAGCCGCGGCGCGCTCCATGTACTTGTCAAGGAGGCTAGAAATCTGCAGACGCGCGGCAAAAACTCGGGTACCTGCGATCCCTTCTGTAAGAGGTATACTTCCCCTCATTTTGAGTATTAATATTTCTTACTTTTGATTGTATGAATTAATATTTTTATTATATGATACAATAAGTGCAATTTATAAAACAAAGGCTGATAAGAGAAATGTCACAGTTGCATTAAATAATAATGATTACAAATCTAAAGTCTTGCAGATGCTTGAAAACAAAGAAACTTACATCAAATTAAAGAAAGATCCGATTAATAAATTAACTATTAGGTGTACAACTTTGCTTCCGCCGTTTTCCTATAGGTGGCTTTAGCGGTAAATGGTGGTCGAAATAAATAGATCATAGACGTCATACAATAAACTTGGGCATCTGTCAACATAACCCCATAGAAACATTAGTCGATTTGTGTCTGCATCATAAAGTTATTCTCGATTGAAAATGTCAGTTTACGAGCCAAATTCTCGTCATTTGCGGGAGGTTTTAATTTTTTGCTTCAATATGAAGAAATCTGCGGCTGAGGCTCATCGAATGCTCTCAAATACTTATGATGAGGCCGCTATTATAGTAAAAGAACGTGAGTGGTTTCAACGCTTCAAAAACAGATTTTGACGTCGAAGACTGGTATAGCGGTAGAAGAAAGAAGGTTTTCGAAAATGCAGAATTGGAGACATTACTTGAGCAAGACTCGTGTCAAAATCAAGAAGAATTGGCACGATCATTGGGAGTGACTCAACAAACCATTTCAAAACGCCTCAAAGTCATGGGAATGATTCAGAAGCAAGGAAATTGGGTGCCGTACGAATTGAAGCCGAGAGATGTTGAACGGCGTTTGTTTGTTTATGAACAGCTGCTTGAAAGGCAAAAACGGAAAGGATTTCTGCATCGCATTGTGACTGGGGACGAAAAATGGGTTCATTACGATAATCCCAAGTGCAGAAAATCATGGGGAGTTCCCGGCCATGCTTCCACGTCGATGGTCAAACCGAATATTCACGGCTCCAAGGTCATGCTCTGTATTTGGTGGGACCGCTCGACGTAGTGTCTTATGAACTGTTAAAACCGACTGAAACAGTCACAGGCGATCGGTATCGAACGCAATTGATGCGTTTGAGCCGAGCATTGAAAGACAAACGGCCGCAATACAACGAGAGACACGATAAAGTGATTTTGCAGCATGACAATGCTCGATCCCATATTGTGAAAGTGGTCAAGACATACTTGGAAACGTTGAAATGGGAAGTCCCCACCCGCCGTATTCTCCAGACGTTGCTCCCTCTATCACTTGTTTCGATCAATGGCACACGGCCTGGCTGACCAGCACTTCCGGTCTTATGAAGAAATAAAAAATTGAATCGATTCGTGGATAATCAAAAGATGACCAATTTTTTCGACGTGGGATTCGTACGCTACCCGAAAGATGGGAGAAAGTAGTGGCCAGCGATGGACAATACTTTGAATCATAAATGTATAACCAGTTTTTTACAATAAAGCCTCGAATTTCGGAAAAAAAACGGCGGAAGCAAAGTCGTACACCTAATATTAATATTAATGATGTCCGAAATCTGTTATTAAAATGGAAAAAGAAAAATTTTACTAATGATTCAATGTCAAAACATTATCTTGTGTCAAAACATTAGCGAAGATATTTTCCCGAGAGCGTACTTTATCGAAAATACATAAATTGAATTTTTTGCCCATTCAGATTAATAATATCATTTATAGCTAGTCCTCTATATATCTTGGCAACTTACATAATGTCATCTCAAAGAATGTACCTAAATCGGTTTACAATATTGATAATATTTTTCAATTAGTGAAAAAACTTAAAGAGACACGTTTTGAAATTGAATATGTCTTAATTTCAATGGATGTTGTGTCCTTGTTTATTAATATTCCCATTGATTTGGCTATTAAGAATATTGATAAGAGATGTGAGATGTGAATTTTGTGAGGGATAAGGTCAATATCTCGAAAGATAAATTTATATTGAGAGTACTTAATTCAACTTATTTTAGTTTTGATGGGCAATTTTATAAACAAAATTTTACTTTTATGAAGTCTTTCTCCAATAATAGCCGATTTAATGGGGAATTTGGAAGCAAGCATTAGAGACTGGATTTTCAACTTTTGTTTTATTTTCGTTATGTAGATGATGTTACGATGACAGTTACAAAAAATCTAGTTGACTTGAGACCTTTAAGAGACATGACAGATGAAAATTTATTTTAGAATTTGCCGACGATAAAATAAATTTTTTGGATATCACTATTACTAATAATAACTATCTAATTGAATTTGACTGATACCATAAGCGTACGTATTCCGGAAGATACCTTAATTTTTTATCATCACATCTCACAAAAAAAAGCATAATAATAGGTATGACAGATAGAGCGTTTTTATTATCGAACCCTAAATATTACCAAAAAATTTTTTTGGTAAAAACACATTATCAGTACATTATTAAAAAATGATTATCTGATTGATTTAATTTTTAATATTATTAACGCACATTTAAAAATTCTCATTCATAAAGATATGATACGACAAAAAGAATCGAATAAAGAAATCAAGAGGGATTGTACTTCTTGGTTTGTAATACCTTATATTTCAAAAATTTCAGACGAATTCAAAAGAATTAGTAAAACCTTTAATACTAAATTAGCTTTTATACTAAATAATTAGCTTTAATACTAAACTAGCTTAGATAAATTAAAAGTTTGATTGAAGGACATAAAGACATACTCCCAAAAGAAAAGAGAAAAAATGTTGTGTATAAAATCTCATGTAAATCCTGCGATGCTTTTTATGTTGGACAGACAAGAAGAAAACTTAAAACTAGATTGGCTGAGCATCGTATTAACCGGAATAGTAACAACTATCGGTGATCACAAAATATCGGATTAAATTTGAACATGATTTCGATTGGGAGAATGTCACGATACTAGATAAAGAGCGTTTTCTTAATAAATGTTTAATATTTGAGTGCCTTCATATATTCGTGCAACAAAGTAGTCTCAATTTATGCTCAGATACAGAGGGTGTACATCAAATTTATATATAATTATTAAAAGACATTAAATAGTTACATTTTGTCGGTTTATAAATTATTGTTTATGAATTGACATTGTTATTTTTTCTTTTTATTTTCCTTGTTGACTTGATATGTCTTTCTTATGATATTAAATGTATTAGTCATGTTTCTAGCTGCGATCAATATGTTTTTTAACTTCATACTCTTTAGTGATTATAAATTTTAATTTTATTTTGGTTTTGATGCAATATCGAAATGAATTCCTTCTATGTGTTTTAGAGTGAGTCACCAGTTTTTTAATTTGTAACTTGTTTTTAAACTAGTTTCGAAATATTTATAAGATAATTGTTTTAATGTTTCGAATAGATTACAACATGAAATCTGTTAATATGATGGTAATTTTTTCTTGGACATAAAGAGATTGATATTTTGAAATTGTATTGCTGAGGATGGTTCCAAAGTGAACTAAAACGTATTATTTTTTATTTTTTGGCATAAAGATTCTATTTTCTGGAATCAAAATTTAAGATTGCGTATTAACTATCACGCGACTCTCATTCGTCTTGATTTTTTTTTGGATTTTTTGTTGTTGCAATTTATAAAAATGGATATTTTTGTTTTTAAATTAGGATATATGTTTTAATTTTTTATATTGTATATCAAAATACTATATAATAATAATTATTATTATTATATATATAGAGTATACTTATGATTACAGTTAAAAATGGTTTTAACACCTCTGTTTAAGTCATAAAGATGTTTTTAAAGTTTAGAAAAAAATTCTTACATCACCTGCATTGTTTCAAGTTGCAATTTCTTTCAGTTATTTGCTTCCCGACAAAGGACGATCTGGTAAGCAGAAAACCGGCGTCGTTCGTAGGTCTGGCGGCTCACCAGTTTGGGGTCATACGTTCATCTATAAGGATGTTAGTTTACAAGAATTGGCGGAACGCGGATTAGAATTAACAGTCTGGGACCATGATCGAATTGCTAGCAACGAATTCCTTGGCGGCGTTCGATTTAATCTTGGCACGGGTATTTATATAAAATCATTACTTTAAATTGTGTATACATATATTGAGATTATTTATTTTCTTAAGGGAATTCTAAAGTCGTCCTGTGCATAATTTTTTTTACAGAATTGAAGAATGCATTTAAAAAATCCCGCAAAAAACAATTTCACGAGAAGATCGAAAAAAAAATTTAATTTTTCTGGCAGGTACAATTGTCACCTGAGATTAATATTTGCTTGATAAAAAAGTTTTATAGCTTGTAAGTTGAAAATAAGTGCAAGGTGGGATTCAGATTGTTTAAACGAACAATACTGAGTGGTTAAGATTCAAAGTGTAGAAAAAATATTTTTCTTAAAACGAAATTACGTGCTTTGCAAGATGAAATTTATTCCGAGCAACAACAAAAAATTTCAAAAATTGAAATCTTAAGAAAAATTTTTTGTTCTCAACATAGACTCCATAAACACGTATTAATGCGTATACTTCAATCCTGAAAAAGGATTTTTGAATCTGTAAAAAAAGAAAAAGTAATTATACAAATTATATATATATATTTAATTATACAAAAATTATGATTTAATCGGTAATATAGACATGGACACAGATAGTTTTAGGATTCCCTTAATAATCAAATTGAATTTATTAATTGTATATCTTGTCACACACAGATAAGAAAAATAATAACTTCTCGAAATTTAATCGTAGAAAATTTAATTAATAAAATGTCATTTTCCTTGATTTAGTTCGCTAAATTGATTAATTCCCTGTTCTAAAAATTTGATAAAGATATTTTTTTTCGGCAATAATACAAGCACAAATCTCCATTTCAGGCAAGCATTATGGGAAATCGGTGGATTGGATGGATGCGACCGGCCGTGAGTTATCTCTCTGGCAAAACATGCTCGAAAGGCCAAATTTCTGGGTCGAGGGCGCAGTAACATTAAGGCCGAACTTGCACAATCATGGGAAAAACAACGGTACTTAAAACAGCAACGTGATAATGTCGCCCACTCTCTCCAGTTCTTGTTTCCGAGAGATGAACGGTTCACCAATTTAGTTCAAGTTGATTGTACATAGATCTAAAAGTGTCACGCTTACGACGTGATCTTAAATATTTGCGAACGAAGAATCAGTGCCTTCGGAAGCGACTTGAACTCGTCTAATCTTCCTGAATGGATGTAGACAAAAATTCTCTGCAAAATTCCCGTCAATCGTAAAAATCGTTTACCAGATTAGCTTGGACTGATGAAATATATCATTATCGGTTCCGAACTTCATATTATGTAAACAGTACGCATTAAATTATTTTCAGTTCCCTATCCATTCTTATTTCTACGTTGCCCGTTATTGATTTTTATATAAATCGTGTTCTCTACGTAAAATTCTTTCATAAACCTTTCAATATTTATTGATTTATAATGAACATGTTGCACAAGATGCTTGCTTTTATGAATTTTTTTAAAAATAGATTCTTATTCTTATTTTATTGGCTGCTTCGCTTTGGCTATTCAAAAAAATATAACAATCATTTTCATTATTTTGTATTTACTCAATAAAATGATAAAATTTAATGATTTAGAAGAGAAGAGAGGATATGTGTATATGGTATGTGCTAAAATATTTGCAAAAAATAAAAAATGCATATTCTCATTAAGAAAATATGAAATATATTCGAAGTGTATTTTAAAATATAAATAAAATATTTCTGCTTACTAAAAAATATATCATAAACGTATCGTTTTTTAGATTTATAATTTTTACTTTTCAACATATTTTCTTTTATCCAAAGTTACGATTCGTAACAACATAACATTAATACAATTGACGTGCCAAATATTAAATGTTGTGGTGAATTCATATTGTAATAAATTTCTTTAATATTTTTCAAGATAAAATTATATTATAATTTATTTAATTTTAATATTATTGCAATTCTTTTTCTAAAAAATATTCTTTTTTTATTATTAATAGCTATATATCAGTAATTATAGGACAAAGCGAAGTATACTTTATTTGTTTCTTTGAAAGCTGCGTCTTTGCGTCTCATAATTTTTTCTTTTCGCTTAATTGTGATTAGAAAAAAAGTTGTATAAATTATGTAAGTCATTAAAATTCATGCAATATTATAAAGCATCGAAGATTCTTAAAAGAATATTGTCAGGTTTTTGAAACGTCCGAAACGATAAAAGCAAAAGGACGTCCGTCCAAAACAATTGGCAAGATAATTATTAGTATCCATATGTATGCGTATATATGTGCGCTCTTTGCAGTTAACGATGAATTAACTCTCGTTGAGTTCCAAACGTTGAATCACGAAATATTTCGTAATTTCGCGAAATTCTACCTCACCAAAAAAAAGTCCGAAAATTAATCTAACGGCACGAATGATAGTTTAACATTTTTAAACTTTACAAAAACGTGCTCTTAGTCCATAATTACTGCAAAGATTGTAATAGTATTACATTTATTATTACGAACGTAAGAAGTTTTGTAAGAAGCAAATGAATGACGGGGTTGCAGTTATATTTTTACATTTTAAGATTATGAACTTTAAAATTTGATTAATATCGTGTAAGACATCATATAATCCATAATGGATTTTCACCGAAAAATGAGAAGTAATGGTGATAATAATTTATACATGATAGAGAACTCAGGTCTTTTATAAAAGTAGGATACGCTTCCTTCATTCATTTGCTTCTCTTCATTTACTAAATAAATCGGACGAGACATGATCAAAAACTCAGCGTTTGGAACGTCTGAATAACGTTGTAGACACTTTCCTTTCTTGGAGAGAAAGATGCTTCCAATGTGTAACAATGTAGGAACAAGCGAGTCTCTCGAGTGAACGAACGAACGAACGAACGAGCGAATGATGGAACGGTGTATTTAAGGGATTTAAATACGACCGCTTCCTCGAGCAACATAAACGAAAACGCATTCTTGTAGATGTTATATTTATATGTATACATATATATGCAAGCATCGAATCCGTCGCCGCTGAAATTCCCGAAGGAAACTCGCCATTCATAATTATATTTCCAAAATTAAAGAAGCTTTTCCTCCGGGAATTTCAGGACGATTATAAAGGCTCGTATTCGCGGTGTGCGTTCAGCGGCGATTTGTTTTTATATCGTTAAGCGTTAAATGCGAATGTTCTGATCCAATATTAATATAATATTTGGTACAGTCAGTTACGCATTTAGCGCTAGCTGCACCGCTAGATCGTGTTATAAGTATCGACGACTCTCGAAGGTTCAAGGATAAATCGAAGGTTCGAATTGATGAACTCGTACTTAACTGATTTATTATACCTTCGATTATTTATCAGTATAACATCGTAAGTCGTTGTAATTATCTTAAGACTCTCTGTCTCTCTTCCTAAAAACAGGGTTAACGAAAGGGAACTGTGAAACTGCCTTTAATGTTACGTAGAGATTTGTGTGATGCGTAAGCTCCTGATTGAGCTAAAGATAGATGAATTAAAAAATTTCAATTATGAGAAAATAATTTTTTTTTTAAGTGCAATTGATCTTTCAAATAAGAAATTTATTTAATAATTTTCGAATTTTCATTCTAATCAAAGAAAGTTATGTTTAAGTCAAGAAATTCAAATATAATTTTTTAAAAGGAAATTGATTTATATTCTGAAAGAAATTTAAATAAAATAAAAATGTAAATACATATTTAACAAAGATAAAATTTAGAAAATTGAAGCGCCGAATTTCCGTAGAAAGAGTAAGTTTATCGAAGTCGTAAATTTAATAAAATCATATTTCTGTGTGAATTCTTTTTTAATTCAACTATCCTTCATAGGATCAATATATGTGTCTTAAATTAATATAAATTTTGAGATATGCGTAGTATATAAGATTTCGATATTCCTGAAATACTAAATTTAGTGTCGTTACGATAAGTGTATGTCGTGCGCATTTACGGACCAATAGAGAATCGAGGATTTTATTACGATAACCCATTGCGTTTTCTACCCCGATAGAGCCTCCAAGTTATTTTACGTATGTTAGTTCACTTAGCATTTAATGTTATGAAATGTAATGTTAAAAACTTAGAGAAACAGACATTTATTTATATGTCGCTCGTCGGTGTACATGATAATAAAAGTTTTATACGTTTACTCGTATATTTCGCATAATTTATTTATTATAAATATATAAATGCCTGTAAGAAATTATAAACATAAATCAGTTACTTATCGAGAGAAATCATATCAGTCCTGCAAGTGAAAGAAATTTAAATCAATATATATTGAATAATGATAAAATTCATCCAAAAAAATAAAAAATACGAATCATCGTAACATAAAAAATATACGATCATATATATAATTAATCAAACAATTTCATTTTATATAATTTTATACTTTTTATTTTATTCTTAAGAGCATTTTTTAAAAATATTTCGCAATGTTTTTTTAAACTGTATATCATAAGCTTTTAAATATATTTTTTATCAGCTATGCATTATTTATTTAGATGTATCCATTTTAAAGTAAATAATTATAATCTATTAAAGTATAATAATTACTGATATCAAAATGTAACTTTTATTATAATATAATCTTGATATGTGTATGTTTCTAGTATATGTAAATCTAGTATAGGTAAATCTCTATGTATATGTTTATCGTTAGTATTGATAATACAATATTAATCGTGCAATAGATGCGGGCAATGAAGTTTATTAATATCGAGAGTTATGAAAAGAATTTTGTGTTGATGTTTCATTAATATCAATCATATCTGACTAGAAAATATAATATTTTAAAACCACGCTTAGAAATATATATGCAATTCTCGATTAAAGATCGTTGTTCGAGATGAACCTGTTGCCTTCTGAATTCTTGCCAGAATATCGATATTTACATTTACCATATACACCTGGAAAAAATGTATTACTAGTTTATATTTACTATTTATTTATTTATTATATTTGTTTATATAATGGATAATTTTAAAAAGTAAAAGTTAGTGTCAAAAATGTTTTAAAATAATTTCCAATTATACAATTTATTTCATAATTTGATTGCTGTATATACCTTTGTGATCTTGAGGATTGCGCACCGAACTTGGCAAGGGTGTGTAATGGATGTTGAAGTATATGTCATCAAATTCATTATTGGTTTGCGTTGAACTGGGTACGTACTTGCGAATCAATTCCGGGATGAGCTTGATCGTCTTGGAATATCTACCGCGAGTGTTAGCATTTGATCTCTCCTGCTGAGTGACTCTTCGGGAGTCTAGAAAGCGAAGACTCGGAGGTAAAATGTGGATAGCATATAGCCTGTAACGCTCATAATCATCTTCATCAGTAGACGTTGGATTGGTCAATTGATCAGGGCAACCGGGATTGCCCAGAAGACTCACGTACTCCACGTTGGGACAACATTCTCGTATTTTATCAAGAGCTTTATCGATATTGAATATCTAGAAACGAAGTTTATTATTTGATTTCTATATAAAAAAATACTATACAAGTCCCTAATAATTATTTATTAAAATAGTGTGTTAAAGAAATTAATAAAAGAAATTAATAAAAGAATTAAAATTAACTTAAAGACTAAATATCGTTAGTAATTTTTTGTATGAAATTTCATAAATCTTTTTTAAAACATAATCTTCATAAAAATTTTATTACTTTTTTCAATATTTTTTTAAGAGCACCTTATTATTATTAAGACTCAGAGTGGTCAAAGTCGGCATATGAGGTAATGTTTTGAGATTGTCGAGCTTGTTATTGTCCAAAATCAATTCCTGAAGCTGCTCAAAATCCTTTATACCAGAAATAGTTGACAATTCGTTATAGGAGAGATCCAAACCGAGACAATCGTGATCAATGACTCTTATCAAACCATTAGGAATCTTTTCTGCCCTTTGCCCTGTATACCATGCCTAAGTCGATTATAAATATAAAAGTAAGAAAAATATAAAAATAATAATAAGAATGTGTGTGTGTGTGTGTGTGTGTGTGTGTGTGTGTGTGTGTGTGTGTGTGTGTGTGTGTGTGTGT